TGACCCGGGTGGCACGGCAATCGAGGGATCGAAGCGCGGGTTGTCAGGCCATGTCCGAAGTCTAAGTACCCCACCCCCCCCCGTCCCGCCTGGTCGCTAAATCGTGCGAGAAGGCTTGACAGGTGTGAACAGGGGTCCTGGAGTAGTAGTTTTTAGCGCATAGGGCTCCACCGGCAATGTGGTCCTGGGCTGCTGCTGCTGCCGCTGTGCGAGTCAGAAGAAGAATCGGTACAGGAACGCCTGGCCCCAGAAATCAATCCCCCTTAACGCCCACAGCAGCATTCACGGTCCGAGTGAGCCTGCCACTGCGCTCTGCTTAGAATCAAACGGTCCTTTTCTCTCGTCCATGCGCTTGGATTAATTAATAGTCGCCTCTGTACTACCCCAGGCACTTTCAATCAGTTCCGTCCTGCGCTTCTGTGGACTGTTGTGAGCAGGAGCAGCAGTTGCAGCAGGAGCCTCTTTCATCCGCCCAGCCCTGGTTTTGGACTTCTCGTTGTGAGAATGAATATATTGTGAGAGCAAGAGACGAGGGATTATGGGTGAGAGGATGCACGCGCAAGGTGTGACAATCGCTTGCGACACAAGCCCGGGGCTGCCTGCCTGCTTTGGCATTAGTAATTGAAAATCCTAAAAGGCTTAAAAACAGTACAACAACCAGCTGTCCGACTGACCTCTCGGAGGAACCGGGGCGCCATTGTTTCACGCGATTTGACTTTGTGAAGAGGCTTTTTAGATCCTGGACATTCGTCTCTGCAATCGAGCCCATGTTCTGATAGAGATTTGGACGGACGAACGGACAGACGGACGGACGGACGGAGACCTGTCCTGGACACGCCAGATCGAGCGCATTGTGGGGCTGGGGGGGGATGGGGTTTTGTCTGCAAAGTGAGAGTGCTGTCAGCAGGTGAGGAGAGCCAAGCAAGGGCTCCTACCACACCTGAAACGATTCACTTCGTGCTGCCAGTTCCCAATCCATTTGGTGATCTACCGACTGTCCTACCCTCGCGGTGAACGTGCGTCCATCAACGCAGCAACTTGTCAAGAGCGACCTCTTGGCAGGGCCTGCTCGCGGAGAGAGGGAGAGAGAGAGCGACAGAACGCGAGATCATTTTGCATTCAACTCCTCAAAACCTTAATTTGGAAAAAAGCTCGAAACCCTAATCTAGAGAAAAGACTTTCGCTGTAGAGCAACAACCGTCGTTTCATTTACTTTAAAAGTGCGAGTAAGCTTATATACCTATTTTTACGGATAAAGCCGATTGATAACAACTATGAACGTGGAGGACAGCCAAAAAGGAAGATTTTCTGCCCGACAGTAATTAAATACTTGTTTTCATAGTATTCATAAAAGTTTTGCAAGTTCCCAAGCCAAACTCTTACTTCTATAAAATCATGTTCATTAATATCATTGGGCAGATCATTTCTTCTCAAAAGCATGGATGGTTCCACAAAACAATCCACAAAAAAATAATTATATATATATATATATATATATATATATATAGCGTAGTAAACATAGGCAAAGGCAATTAAAATACAAATGTATTGTGTTTTTATAGTATTTTTTCAGTGATATTTGATGTGTACAAAAAATGAACATTATACAAGATTGACTTATTTTTCTTCTGCTTCTTCTCCTTCTTTCTATTTTTTTTAATAGATTTATTTGTTTTTATATGTTTTTTCATGTTGGAACAAAACAACCAGAATAACTTATGTAGTTGTATTCAATGATATGTAGTTATATTACTAATTCTATTTTCAAAACATTCAGAAAATCGAATTAACATGAATCATTGGACTCGTGTTTGTATAGTTGTATTAGCTTATATTTCATTACTTTGAAATATATTGTACAACTGTGACTTAAACTTTACAAATAATTTTATTGTAAACTAAATTCCTAGCCAAATAACTCATAAGCATTAAGAAGCAGAGTATGTCAATCTGTTGGAAGTATTTACTTTTCAAAGTTAATGATAAAAGCTGAGATAAAATTAAACAATTTTGTTGAATGGAAGCCAAATATTATATTCACTTGTTCATATTGCAACTTATCTTCAAAAATATGACTAAATAAATAAATGAAAACAAAAAGTGACGTTGTACAATTTTAAACGATAGATTTTTACTGAACATACACAATTTTCGAAAATTTATGTGCATGATGTATATAGACATGCATGAGTAATATTAGTATTTTATTTTAAAAGCATATTCAGTTTTTCAGTACATTGCAGTATTTGGACTAAAACAAAACAGTCTAAAACATGTGTAATTCAGACTTTGAAGTGTTTTTAGCACTATGCAAAACAACTCTTTGAAAAACAGCACAATCATTTTGATGATTCAAACAAGATTTCAATGAATCTGATAAAAACAGACACACACCGCTACAACCATGTTTAATCTATATACTAATTGTAATAAAATAAAAATAAAAATAAAAATAAAATTGAAATCAAATTGATTTACTGTCATTCTCATACATTTCAAATGTATGTATACATGAACATGCAAAACTTTAAAACACCATAAAATTATTACATTTTTCAAAATTTACTTATTGATGTTAAGATACATTTTACAAACAAAGTAATGATTTTAGATATAGTATTATTACTATTTTTTTTGTTCTTTTTAATATGTACTAAATACAAAACTCAATACAATAAAGATTCAACTATACTTCATTGGTGAATATATATAGGGAATTGTTAAATTGACCCAAGTATTTACTAAATTGACCCACCATCAAAATTCCTAACCATCATCAAAATATTTTCCACTACTACATCTACATTAGTTGATAACCAATGAAAAAATAGTTGGATCCTTGACCAATGATGATAGGTGGGTTAATTTAGTAAATGCTCAGGTCAATTCAACAATTCTCTCTCTCTCTCTCTCTCTCTCTCTCACTATATATATATATATATATATAATTACAAGCATGGTCATTAAGTTTGAAATACAACACCAACTGATAAGTGTATTTTTGTCTTGTTTTTATTTAAATACGTGTTTAATATAGCATAATATGTCACCTCTTTGTTCATAAAATGTCAGGTAAGTAAGAAAAGATCTCAAGTTATCATCTCATAGTCTTACTTTCATCAATAAATAAATAAATAAATAAGGTGCATGTATTCCACATATTATTAGAGATGAGATAAGTAATCAAATGCTTAGCACATGTTAGCTCTACATTTTACATTTTTTTTCCCCACTAGAATGAAGGAAAATAACAAAATTCTTTGAACAAATAAACAAAAAAGAGACAAGATGAAAACAATAGAGGTGATCTCAAAAACCAGTGTTAGAGGAATGTGGGAGGTTGCAAGCCAATTCATTGTAACAATTTCCAACATCTGAGAAGGTGTATGCGATGGTGGGCTAAGCACCTTCACAAACACCCTCCATCCCATTGCTAATTCAGACATTGTGTTTAGGTCATGGGCACCAATAATGTGCCTCAAGAATCAAATCAGCACATTCTTTAATAATTACATGTTTCTAGCAATGGCAAGCTTGAAATTATAGGTGATTGGAGCACAACTGGCTGTGTGGTTGTATTAGTGACACCACTGCATCAGCCAGATACATACATACATACAAGTGCAGAAAATTTATTTGTTTATTATAAATGTTTCACATGTTGAGAGAATCTGTGTGTTCCTAATGTGCATTGGCAAAGTGTAGCTACTCCTCCTCCAACCCTCTGAGTCCTGCCCTGTACAGCTACTCCAGATGAATGAATACATTGAATGAAGGTGACAGATCTGTTATTGGTTTGGGCAGAAGCAAGTGGAATGAAAGTGATGGTCTTGGGTGATTTATGTATTAAAGAAATGAAACATCTGACATGGGGAGAATGTAGGAATGAAAATCAAATTCATTTTGGTTATATGTTTATTTTTATTTTTACATATTCCTGTTGTATCAAGGAAAGAAATCACCACATAAAGTCGCAAAGTATATCTATATCTATATATAATTATAATTTATTGTTATTATTACAGTTGATACTATTAATGTTATTATCCAAGGCCCTTCCCCGTTCCATGAGCCGTGTCCATGGTCAAATCACGAATATATCCTAAACTATCACACACACGGTCCCAAGTAGCTAGGCATCTAACAACCCAATGGCTCCATCGCACAGATTGACAGGTCAATGGCCAGGAATCGCTACCTTGCCAGCAGTTTGACAACCAGTTCCTTGAAAGCAACTGCTATCTAATTCATGGTCAATTCACATTCACACTGAGAAATTCCCACACAACGGACACAGTAAAAGACGAAAATCTAGGGAAAGATTAAAAAGCAACAGTATATTAAAAACACACACACACACATACTGAGACAGAAGAAGAAGAAGCAGAAACAGAAGAATGTCAATCCAGGAAGTACACCGAAGCAGCTACGAGCTGCCACGACTGGAGACTACCGAATGTGCAAGCTAGGAAGGGAAGGAGGGAAGGAATGAGGGACGAAAGCATTAACTGTAGCATCAGAAGCGAAAGATAGAGGAAGAGGGGGGAGGGGGAGAGGGGGAAGGTGGGAGCAGGAGCATGGAGCAACGGGACAAAGATAGAAATTAGATGCAGTGTCTTCGAAGGAAACAGGAAAAGTCGTAAGCAGGAGCATCAGTGGGCTGGCCCTGAACTGGCAATGGCTCATTAATACCCTTCGTGCGATGAGGTGGTCGCCGCGACGGCCACCATGACGTGAGTTGCCCACCCGCGTTACCCCGACTCGCTGTAATGACAACAATGACAACAGGGAACTCACGAGGAATCGCGCCCCGAAATTCTCCCATTCAGCGATGGGTTCATTTCCAACAATCCCAGCTAGCTACGGTAAAAAGAAACTACTCGTGATGGTGCAAGCTCGGAAATGGGATTACAAGCTTTGCTGAAAGGAGAGCCTAAACTGGCCACCCACTCCACCACGACACTCTGAAATGCCGCGCGTAGAGCCTGGGAGCCTGGGCCCTTTTTAGCCCACGTTATGGCCGCGGGCTCGGCGTATAGGTTAGGGTAGGGCCCTAGGAGAGCCGTGTGTTTTTCCTCTGCCTTAGATGTGAATTCTGGTTAACATTGTCCCTCCTCTTGCGCCGGCACAGAGGCCACCAGCTCACTACCCCCCACCTCCGCGTCCAAAGTTGCCAGCTTGGGGCTGCTCGGGCCAGCGCTTGCATTGCCATACCAAGCAGTGCCTTAGTGCTTGCATCTCCAGATCGGCGTCCGGACTCGCCACTGGGAGCAGCTGTCAGGAGCTGCACTCCCTGGTTCTTGTACTGCTACTTCTCTTCCCCTCCTCTCTCAGGTACGCACCTCCACCGGGTCCATTGCTCTTCTCATCGCTACCTGGAAATCCACGTTTCGTTACACCTCTTTGTCTGTGCAATGTGTTTTCTTCTTACCTCACGTCGATGCTAGTTTCGTGGTTTGCAGAGAAGGCATTGCATGTTTGAGTGTTGAAGCGTTTGATGCTGGTGTTCAGATATGAGTTTGGTGATATAGTGGTTGCAGATATAGATAGTTCTGGGAGCAGTTGCGCTTGCCGGTTTGATGTTGCACATGTAGTGTAGTGCTGAGCTTGGCGTGTTCTTTAGAATAAACAACGAAAATATTTTAAAAAATGATGGTGACGCAGATGGGAAGATTGTAGTGGTGGAGTAGGGCAAGGAGGCAATGCGGTACAGGTCAAGAAGGGCAGTGGTAAGAGCGGAGAGGTGTCGAAACGGATCAAACCGCAAGCAAGAACCACAGGGAGGGACGCAAGTAAGAGCAGTAGTCACTTGTGAGACTTCAGCTGGAAGCTCTCGCTCAGTAGTCCTGGTGGAGTGTTTTCGAGGCTGAGCATAGAACTGGCGACAGCAGGGCAAGTGACCTACTTTCAGCCGTTGCGGATGGGGGCCACTATCAATGCCCTTTTGTTGACTGCTCTCCTGGTGTCTCTTTTCTCGCTACAAGCTGTAGCTACTGGTTCGCCTCATCCCCTCTCTGTTGTTTCTTGTCTCCATCATGTTCGTTCTCTTTCTAAAGAACCTGTAGGACCCTTCGTTTGATTTCGAGATTAGGTTCTGTCAAAACTGGTTGGGTCTTCACCTTTCTCGCGCATCCTAAAGGTTTTACCTGAAGAGTTTGCTACAGGGGTCTGTAGTTATTACTTGAAGCATTAGGTCTATTCAATTTGGTGATGTATGTAGAAGCTAAATGTCATTTTTTATCCAACCTGTGACATTGTACTCACATGTTCAAGCTCTTCTCGATATTCGAATTTGAATGTTCCTTCTTGTGAACTTCGAAAATTCTTCAGATACGATGGTACTAATGTAAGATTCATGTTGACAACAGATCCCTTTTTCGGAGACCGCCCGATTGGAAACCACCCTCCCGGTGTGGGTCGTCATCCCCCTGGAATTGGACGCCATGGCCCTGCGTGGAGCAAGTGGAGAGCTTACATTGCTCTGAAGGCATGGAAGAAGGCCATCACCGATGATCCCAAAGGGATCCTTAAGACATGGGTCGGAAAGGATGTCTGCAAGTACGAAGGGGTCTTCTGTTCACCTCCCGAGGATCCGGATCTTCAGTACCTTGAGGTGGTAGCCGGCATCGATCTGAATGACGCCGATTTGAAGGGAACTTTGGTGCCGGAGTTGGGTTTGCTTCGGGAAATTGGAATATTCCATTTGAACAGCAACCGATTCTCCGGAGAAGTGCCCGACTCATTCCGTTACATGAAGACGTTGTTTGAGCTTGACCTTAGCAACAATCAGCTCAGTGGGTCTTTTCCGTTGGTCGTCCTGGACATTCCCAATTTGGTGTATCTGGATATCCGATTCAATGAATTCTTTGGCAAGCTACCGAGGGAGCTGTTCTCGAAGCCCACTTTGGATGCGATCTTCGTGAATAACTGCAATTTCGAGGGTGATATCCCTGACAATTTCGGGGAGTCCCCTGTTTCCGCCGTGGTGCTCGCAAACAACAGATTCGATGGAAGCATTCCTTCCTCCATTCGGAACATGAGCAATACCCTGAACGAGATTGTTGCCTTGGGTAATAATTTCCACGGAACACTTCCGAGTGAGATCGGTTCATTGAAGAATGTCAACCTCTTTGACTACAGTGCCAACTACATCTCAGGAGGGTTGCCTACGAGCATTAAGAACATGAGGGATCTGGAGGTGTTTGACATGAGCAGGAACTACTTGGCCGGAACAGTCACTGCTGAGCTCTGTGGACTGAACAATTTGACAGCAGTCGCTCTCGACTACAATTACTTCAAGGGAGTGGATCCCACATGTGCGCGCCTTGGCGATATCTTATCTCTAGTTGGAAATTGTGTGCCTGGAGCTCCTGGACAGAAGGACGAGGCAACATGCGCACAGTTCTATGGGCTCACTCCTCCGCGAACCCCATCTAATCCTACCCCATCCAATCCTCCTCGTTCCTCTTCACCACCTCCTCCAACCCCATCCAATCCTCCTCGTTCCCCATCTCCCCCTCCCCCTTCCCCATCTTCTCCTCCTCCTTCCCCATCACAACCTCCTCCATCTCCACCTCCTCCTTCCCCATCACCACCCCCTCCTTCTCCATCTCCACCCCCTCCATCACCATCTCCACCACCACCTCCAGTTGTGTCCCCACCGCCTCCTCCAGTTATATCACCACCCCCTCCTCCTCCTTACATTTCTCCCGCTCCTCAGCCAGACACTGAATGCCCAGAGGGTTACGAACCAGGGAAGAAGTCCGGTACATGCTTCATGCTCGTCAAGGAGCCGCAGACCTGGGCGGAGGCGGAGTACTACTGCCGCCAACATTCCGATGGTCACTTGGCTGCACCGGCTGACTGGGATGAACTCAGAGATCTCGGCAAGCTATGCTACAAATCGAACAGAACAGTATTCCGTGACGAGAACAACCCTTGGGGCCTTGGCTGCTACTTGGGAGGAAGGCGACCTTACACCCTTGAGCCTGAAACCAATGGGTGGAATTACCCAGGTTATCCTTGCATTGAGTTCAACCAATCTTTCTGGAACCACGGAGAGCCCAACAACTTGGGTGGACAGGAGGGCTGTCTCACCATCAAGTTCGAATCCAAGGAGCAGGCTCGTGACAAGTCTAAACTTCCTTACATGTTGAATGACTTGAGATGTGACGTTCAGCTTCCGTTTATTTGCTCCCTGACACGGTGTGAGGATGGATGTGACAACTCCAACACTTGCAAGACCTTGGGTGACGACGGTGCGGAGTGCCACTCGGACGCTAGTGCCGCGGTGGGCTACTCATGCGACTGTAGTAATGGTTACTCGTGGGACGAGTCCGGCACTTGTGTTCCGGAGTAAGTTCGGTAATTTCATAACTATCAAGGCTATTGCTGGTGTCTTCCAGATGTGCGAGGGAGTTGAAGCTGCGGTGAACGCAGTAAGGGCGGATGGGAGTGGACTATCAGTCGGCAAAAAATACTGCGTTTTTTTTTAAAAATATTTAGTTCAGGTTGGATTAACAGCAGGAGTTGTTGGTGTTGGAGCTGTAAGGGATTAGAAAGATCTTGGAAGGTTTATGCTAGTCAAGGATAATTGGTAAGGATCAAGTATATGGAACCTTGCTCTATCTCTCTCTTCCCGAGTAGCTGCTCGATACCAGAGCAATCAAAGATTGCTCTTTCAAAGCACATTGCCTGCACTCGAATACTGTCTCACCGCCCATTCCTTGCATCTTGCGACAGCACTCGTAGGATTGAAACAGTAGGATTTCGTTAGCACCGGGCATTTATTGATTTCTACCATTAGCTGCTATATACTGATCTCGAGGTGGTGGGATTGGAAAAGGGGTGGAGTCTCGGATTGCAGTGCTGTGCAGTGCAATGCAGGCTTCCCCGGCTCCTCTCCCCCTCTCAATAGTTGTCTCACTGCCAGCTCCCTTCGCTTGGCTGTGAACACATTCTTTTAGAGTCGACTCTTTTTTCACTTTTTCTTTCTTTTTACTTCTTCCTTTGTAAAGGTGTGGTATAATGTTGATGTACTGGAGTTTTCGCCGCACTCGTTCTCTCTCTGTTTGTTACCGCCATTGAATAAGACACATCTGGGACAACTCTTTAAACTTGGCTGGATGTCATTTACCATGATTAAAACTGCAGGGTTTTCTTCTTGATCCTCATCAATTGTGTACGTATGTGGTTTTGTCTACTGTTTTTTGGAACTTGTGGTACCTTCTTGTTATGATACGTTGATCCTCTTCGCCATTGAGTCTGTTGAGATGGAGATCAGTGCATGGATTTGCAACTTTACCGTGGAGGTGGTTCTGGAACCGGAAGTGTAATATCCTCGTGGCACAGTGCGCAAGGACTATAAGTCGGAGAAACCAAAGCTGCTGGGTACTCATCTTGACCTGGAAAAAGTACTAAGCCCTAGAACCAATGTGCATTCTGAGTCTTCTGGAGGAGAAGAAAAAGCCATCGATGTAGCGCAAAGAAAATCTCAAACCTTAAATACTTAGTAAATGTCTAACTTGTGCCACAATGTCTTACTGAAGCAAAGATGCTCTTGTGCTGTCTTAATGTCGTAATGGTTGGAATTTGACTGGCCACATTGTGTTTTGTACATTTCCATGTTTTTTTGTGGTTTCAAGCCATTCTGAGATGAAGAGTCTCATCTGATAATACTGTATTTTTGGTTGGTTTGATAACCATATTTGCTTAGTTTGTTTTGGCATTTGTAGCTTGTAATTATAAAAATTAAGATGATAATGAAGGTTGCAAGTTCAATGTGAAAGATATGTTAAATGCCCTTTAAAGATAATTTTTGTGATAAAACATCCGTTTTAATATAAACTAAAAAAATAACCATCATAAAAACATAATAAAGTTTCATTACATTAGAAGTAATAGACTATCATAATCTTGAAGTAATTGCACAAGATTATTGAAAGAATATTTCAATTCTTTTTTACAATAAAAGTAATAAATTTAAGATTCCTAGTATCGCCCCCTTTGTTTAATACCATTCAAATAAATCAATTTTTCATTGTTAAATGTTTTTCAAACTATTTGGTTGAATAATTTTTTTGATTAGAATAAAAAACTAAAGAAATATATTAAGTGGGTAGTAGGTTGTGGTGGTAGTAGCAAAACTGCGATAATATTGGCAATATCCTAGGTTTAACAATAATTCAAAAACAACAATAAAACTTTAATAATCATATCTATATTAAAATATTATTATGTTAAAGAGATTATAGATTATTCACCTCTAAGTTGATATTTTTTATACATATATGAATATGCATACATATATCCAATATTTTAATTTTTAATAATGCTTTTGTAAATATAATGTTAGATATAAGAATAATTTAAAAAGCTCCTACAATGTTTAAAAATTATCCTTATATGATTATTTTGTTAATTTTGGAATTGTCTTGATTCTAATATTATATTTATGTACTTCTACTTGTATTGTAGTTTTCTAATAACTCAAGGAACTTTGGAGCTTTCATAAGAATATGTTTCTAAAATATTACTTAAAGAAAAAAAAAAAAAAAAAAATTGTATGAAGCCTCTAAAATATCACATATACTAGTTTCTCCTTTATCATGCATAAAAACTTTATAGATTGTTATGTAGAGTTTATTTTATATGGTAGTTATTTTCAAATACAAAAGTATTTTTAAAACTCTTTTAGCTTCATTCTATTCAAATTGTTGAATTTTGCACAACTCTCATCAAATTAGAGGTGTACAAGTAAATTTTGCTTGCAAATTATTATCCATCAAGTGTAGCCCTTTCAATCCCTTGCCATGCATATTACCTTGGCAACATGCAAAGACAAATAATTTTATTATTTAAATAAACTTTGTTTTTTAAATATTCTAACTATTGGGGAGATTAGAGGTAGTCAACAAGGCAATAATACACACATATAATGATAGTCATAACTTAGTATAAATTCAATTTAGTCTAATTTGAAAAACAATGTATAAAAAATACATGTACTAAAAATGATATTATAAATTAGAGACAATATTTTTTGTAGTGTAGTATATTTACATAATAATTGAAGTTAATTGTACACAAGTATATTAAAAGAAATGAAACAAAAAAAAAAAATTAGGATTAAAACTTAGTTATGAGATAGATATGATAGTTTGTCTATCTGCCATTAGTCTTATTTAGAGCTCTAATATGCTTCTTCATGCCTCTATATTGTTGGACTTCAATCACTTCATGCTTGTATTATTTAGAAGTGATTGAAGTCCAACAATCTTCAATACAAGTTCATAGTTCTAGCATTCTTTTTACAAAGATCTAATATTTATTAAAACTATGTTTGAGAATTACCTACAAATATTTGATTAAATTGAGATTATGAGATTAAATTGGCCATTCAATAAGAAAAAATCTTTAAATTCAATCTTAAAGTGTCAAGGGTAAGAACATGATAAAGACAAATAAACAAATAAGACTTCTTTCAAAGAAAGATGACAAAATAGAAATAACTTGATATGTATATTAAGAAAGAAACTGGAATGGCTATTGCCAAAAGACAAAAAAAGTAGAAATCCTTGAAACTAGATTGGAAGCAAGAAAGGAGTTTAGAAGAATGAAGAAGGCTTCACTCTTATCTCTATATATATTATCTAACTAAGGGCTACGTGGCGACGTTCTATAGGACCTTTAATATGTGTTGACTTTGTAGGACACATGCCTTGACTTACAAGGCAAGTTTTTCTACGTGTGGGCCACATAGTTAGCTTGGTCTTCAAGCTAATAATATGTGTGGCACATGACCAACTTGTTGACTACGTTTTTAATCCAAAAAGTCAATTAAAGACACCTATAAAGTCAAAGTAGCATCTATGAAGCTTCTAGAAAGCTTCCATACTAAATACTATAGAATTAACTTACTTTTATCTACTTTTACTTATTTCTACTTATTTATATATGTAATTACTGGCTTACATGAGTATGTCCGTGATATTACCCCTCCTTCTAGGGACAAGTTCCACGAAGAGCGGTCATCATATGTTGAGGAAATCTATGATGGGACGAATTGTATTTGCCACATACTTTGATCTTTGTTCTCTTTGAAGATGATTGATAGGGCCTCTCAACAATCGGTAGTGTCCCATACAAGGGCAGGAAGACCACCTAATTATTTGATCATTGTTGAGGCCTTCATAACTTCCTTCAAATAAAACATTTGGAACATCATCAGGAGTTGTTCCTACCTCTAGTAAAATCACCAAACATCGGGAGTCCCTTCCAAGGTCATGATATCAAATGCGTTATATTTTGCCATCTATTCGAGGAAGAACATGTCATTCTTGAAGATCTTTATCTCGATTGCATCATCTTGAAGGTTGTGATAATCATAATGTCTCGTCCGACAAGTCAGCAAATGAAGGTTCTTGAGTTAAATCTACTGGTTGTTGGTTCTCCATCTCTTGAGCATCACAACTACAAAGAAGCTACAAACAAGGATTGAAAGTAGAATGATAACTTGCCTAGATCTTGTTTCTATTATAAAAAATATTTTCATCTTGATTTTGATGGATGTCATCGATAAAAAGCCTCCACCGCCTTTGCTGCATTTGCAAGATTCTTTGCTGGCTTCCATGTGCATTCACTAATATCATATCCGCGCCAATGGACAAGATATTCCAATTTATTTTGACGTCGCCTTGAATCTAAGACTTCTTCCACTTCAAACTCTTCATTATTGTCTACTTCTATAGGAGGAGGTGGAGCTTGTCTTCTTCTTGGTATGTCCACTATCTTGTATGGTTCAAGAAGAGATACGTGGAATACTGGATGGATTTTCATTTACTCCAGGAGATGTAAACGATATGCAACTAGATTGATTTGTGCAGAAATAGAAAATGGTCCAAGCCTTCGATAGTCCAACTTGTCACAAAGGCGAGTGGTCTTGATATTGCAACGAAGTAACCATACCTTATCACCCATGTGGAATGGTGGTTGTTCCTTTCAATAGACATCCGCATTGACCTTTTGTTGTTTTTGAGCTTCTTTTAACTACACCTTCATTGTTGCATGTAGCTCTGACAAATGAATTGCCAAATCTTTATTAGCCGGATTATCAACTTTTGAAAAGTCAAAAGTATCAAGTCGTGGATGATAACCATAATTAATAAAGAAAGGTGTTTGTTTTGTAGAAGAATGTACCAAGTTATTGTAAGCAAACTCTGCCAATGGCAAAAGAGTTGCCCAATCATCTTGTTGGTAGTCAATGGTACATCTTAAATACTGCTCCAAAACTTGATTAACACGCTCCGTTTGTCCATCAGTTTGAGGATGGAATGTTGAGGATACTTTTATATCTACTTTTAGAATCTTGAAAAGAGTCCGCCAAAATCTTGATACAAATTGAGTTCCTCTATCTAATATAATATCCTTGGATAATCCATGATAGCAATAGATATTGTCAAGAAAGAACTTAGTTGTTTCTTCACCTGTGATAGATTTTTTACATGGTACAAAATGTGCCATCTTAGTGAAACAATCTACTATCACGAATACAGAGACATAAGAACCTGAGATTGGAAGATCCGTGATGAAATCCATAGAAATAGAAGACCATAATTGTTTTGGAATTGGTAATGGCTGCAGAAGTCCGTAAGGTTGATGATGAGGAGTTTTTGATCTCGAGAAAACATCACAAGATTGTACAAAATCTTTAACTTCTTTTCACATTTGAGGCCACCAAAAGTCCCTAGATATTAGTTCCAAAATTTTATTGTACCCAAAATGTCCTTTCTGCTAGAAAATCATGACGAGCTTGAAGAACACGTAATCGAGCTTCACCTTCTAGAATATATAGGCGTCCCTCAAAATATAGTAGATTCTTCTTGAATTCAAACTTTGAAGTATCATGAGACTTTGAAGGATTTCTCTTAATATCACGAATAAGAGGATCAGAAGACATACTTGACTAAACTCGCTTAATGAAAATTGAATCAATAGTTAGTGTTGATTTCATTGCTCGAAGATGAAGATGCTTTGGCTTCAAGAGAATTGCTTGTTGTTGATCAAAAGCACCATCTCCTTCCTTTGATGCAAGATAAGATCATCTAGAGAGTGTATTTGACAAACCTTGTTGTTTTCTTGATCGATAAGTGATCTTGAATTCGAATCTTGACAA